AAACATAAGATTTTGGGATGGAATTTGTAATGAGATTTGGGCCCTTTTGTGATGGATTTGGGCCCTTGCAATAAACTTAGTATGGATTTGGAATTTATGGTTGCATTTTTTTTCCCCTTAGAAATGCTCTTATAGGTATCTCTTCTAAAATCCTCCTTAGAGGATACCTATAAGAGAGCTTTTGAAATGTTCCTATGTGTACGACATTATTGGATATGGGAGCATTTTGGAAACATTCTCACATGTCCAAAATAAACACTTTTGTAGGTATATTTTAATAGTGGATGATGAGTTGTTAGCTTGTTAGCCTGAACTTCTAAAATTCTTTTTAGTGTATAATTTAAAACCCTAAATAGTAAGTAAAATTAAGGGTTTAGCTAATTGGACCATATTGGCTAGTTGGATCATGAACTAGGTTATGATCTGGTCTAAGATAAACCATTAAATATATGTATAGTGAACTAGTCAACAAATTTAGGACCTGTCATGAGTACAAGCTTAAGGAAGAGCCTATACCAAAAGGTTGGCCTATTCAGAGGGAAAGTCCCTCACACTTATAAACCTCACTTTAATTGTGAGACTCCTTAATGTGGGAATCATGACAATACACCCCTATTGAGAGCTGATGTCTTTGGTGTCTCCACTCAATTGCTTTCACTTGGCCTTCTATTAGTCAAAACCCTCCCTAAGTAGCCCTTTTCAGGGCACCAAATTCTCAATGGAAGTTCCAATATCATGAGCACAAGCCTAAAGAAAGAGCCTATCTCAAAAGATTAGCCTATTAGGAGGAGAGTCTAATCTCACTCTACTTGTGAGGCTCCCCAATGTGGGACTCATGATAGAAATATGAAAAATGTGCTGGTTGGTTGATTGATAGGCCAAGCATTAGATCTAACAAGAAGAAAAATAGATGGAAGAGGCTTGGAGTGATGATGAAAATTAGGGGAATGAAAATGATTCAAAGAAAAAAATTAAGAAAATAAGTCATTATTGTCAAGCAAATTTTTTCAGGCTTGCTAAGCTAAGTGGAAGTATTTACCTTAGCTTATGCATTGGCCATAACTCAAATTCTGAGTTATGGCAATTATATGGTATAAGTCCTTTTGAATTCTCAAGTCTAATGCTAAAGCATAAAATATAACATTAAAGAAAAATGATGGTAATGCATTACATTTGGATGAAAATGTACCTTCTAAATTATTGCTATCAAGATACAATTGTTGAAGCATAGTCAAGTTTCCAATACCATCTGGAATAGGGCCAGATAGTTGATTAACACTTAGGCTCATTATCTTTAGATTTGCAAGACTTATAATTTCATTGGGAATATTTCCTGCAAAAGGAAAAAAAAAAGCAACGCATCATTGTAAGTAAAATGAGCAACACTTAAGTTTATGGTAATGCTAACCTCTAGGATTTCATTTTATTTGAGCACATTTTTCTTAAATTCTAATATATTATTTTGGCACAATTCTACACATTTTGAATACTCTAGTTAGGAAAATATGCATATTATTTTGGAAATTCAATCCATGGCTCTATTTTGGTTTTTTCAAGTTAATTTATCAATATTTTGGTTTAGGGTATGTTGGGGGCATTTATGGAAATCAAGTGATGTATTAGGATGCATTAAGATGAAGAAATTAGGTGCAAAGGTGATTAATCATGTTGTATGGAAGAAGAGAGCAATATAGAGAAAAGTCATGACCAAAGTCACGACTTTGTTTGAAACTTTCACTACTAAAAACAAAGCATTGCATTTTATTTAGCTAAAAATATTAGGGTTTGATGTGTATGTGTTGCTTGCTCAACTCAAAACTCATTCTTCAAACTTTTGGAGTTAGAAGTACTTGGAACAAGGGAATGAAGATTTGAAGCTCCATTCTCTTAGTTTTTCGATATCTTCTCATTTTCTCTTTTCTAATATGATATTGGTTCAAATGTTTTGTGTATTTATAACTTATAGATGATTATAAGTAACTAAACACTTTGCTGTAAGATTATTTTGAACCCTTATACGCATTAACACAAAATTTCTCCTTTCTTTTTGTGATTAATGATATAAGTGTCTACTTTACTCTTCTTTTAATGTTTATAAGTGATTAGCCACCATTTAGATGTTTTTTCACTTAGGTGATGCTTGAGTGTAAAACTTGGGTAAAATAGTGCAAGAACTTGAAATTTGCATGATGAATGGATGATTTTGTTAGTAGAAGAGATATACTTACTAACCTTGCATCGCTACAATCGGGTTGGAGCTTAAAATTGGGTTTTATTAATTTAACAAGAGATTGAGCAATTTAATTAAAGTAAACACTTGTTCATGACTTGAGAGGGCTTGCTCAAATTTTTTTAGAACCCTAAGTTAGCACTTATTTTCATTAAAAATATTTATAAGAGGAGGTAATTTTAGTGCTATGAGAAGAAAGAGGGATAGATGATTCTAGGTCCTATTTTCACCTTGAAGTCTAAGAATAATTTTTTTTCTTTATTTTCTATTTTTAATATAATTTGCAAAATCAACTTGTCCAACTAATTTGTTTTCTTGAACTTAATTAAATTTGTGCAATCTTTTGCTTGACTATATTTTTAATACAAATCTTTGCAAGAATGATACTTTACTTATTTTGTATTACTTGTTATGATTCGTGCACTTGCAAAGCACAACACGTGTTATTTGAAGTTATTTTGTGTTTCAAAGTTAGTGACTTAGATGAAAATAAGATTGCATGTCTAAAGCATGATAGGCCCCATATATAGATTTATATGTTCAAAAGCTGTGCGAACACTTAAAATCATCAATAAAATTATGAAATATGTATCTTTAATTTTTATTCTATGTTTTGAAAACAATTTAATCTATATTAGCCTATTTATTTATTTTGTTATTTTGATGAATTGTACTTCTTGATAAATTAAGTTTAATAAAGGTTAACGATTTTTTTAACTTTTCATAAAAAAATTTAATTTTAAATAAAAACGAGCTTGTTTAAATGAAAATAAAGGACAATTCCCATTAATTACATATGGTTTTGAATTTCTATCAATCCCAAATGATATTGTGCAATTCAGATATATTTTTAATCAAGAAATTAAAGTTGGTGAATATTTGATATAACCTGTTAAATTAATTTGTAATACAAGTTTGAAAAGCTGTGGGTCGTTATCTAAATATTAAAATAAAATAATCAATTTTCCAATTCCTTGAGTAAGCATATATTCACTATATATACCTGTTTAAGGTTAATTAATACTCAAAAATAGTATCATCTATGTTTATAAATTTCTTGAATTTGAGAGATTATCTGTTTATTGTAAAGAAATACACTACAAAAAATAGTAGATTAGTGACAGAATTTTTATTTCATCACTAATTCAGTTGCTAAATTAGTAACAGAATTTAGCAACGGAAGTTTCTATCGCTAAAATTTTATCATTATTCCATCACGATAATAGAATTTACTGATGAAAAATTCCATTGCTAGTGGCTAGGATATCTTATTCTAATTTAGTGATGGAATTTGTGATGAAAAATTTCATCACAAAGCTCTTTGTCATAATTCTGTCACTAATTATTTTTAATTTAATTTTATTATTTATAATATATATTTATATATATTATTATGCTATAAATAAATAATTTAAAATAATAAAAATAATTTATTATTTTAAATTATTTGTATATTATTCATAATAATTTAAATTCTATACTTAATTATTCTTATTTAAAAATAAAATAGAATAAAATAATTATAAAATAAAAAATTAGAATATTATATATTATATAGATACAAATTGTAATATAATATATAATGATAATAAAATATTTTTAAATTTAATTTAAATTTATTATCAAAATAATTTTTTTTAAATAAAATATAATAGAAATAATTATTATATAAATTAATTTTTCCATATTCATAAATAATATAATGTTAAAAATTAAGTAAATTTAAATACTATATTTAATAATAATTTAAATAATATATTTATTAATATATGTGTGTGTGGTTAAGTATTATACATTTAATTTATCAATTAGGACTGAAGATTCCTTTCAGCTCAACTGGCAACAAGGTGGATGCAAAAATACATGAGAGTATGAGGTTGCAAGTTTGAACCTAGCCAAGACATAATTGAAAGTAATAATATTTGACATGACAGTGACAAATAACGTGGCGGTGATGTGCCACTAGTCCACAGGGTGACTAGGACGTGGTAGTGACATGGCATGAGGTGATATGGTCCATTAGGTGACTAGATAGTGGTGAGATGGCATTGATCCACCAGATGACGTGACAAAGATATTTTAGTCCACCTAATAAATTTGCGACGGAATAAGCCCGTTGGAAAATTAGCAACGGATTAGCGGTGGAATGTATTTCATCACAAAGTCAGAATAACTTTATCCTTATTTAGTGATGGAAAATTTTTGTCGCTATTTTGTCAGAAATTTGTGACAAAATTGCATTATGTCACTAATTTCATCTCTAATTAGCGACAAAATTACAAATTTTGTCACTAATGAATAAGTAACAGTGTTTTTACTGACAAAATATTCCGTTGCTAATCCATTTAGCGATAGAATTTTCATTGATTAGCGATAAAAAGCTGTTTTTTGTAGTGATAATCTTTTGCAATATGGTAAAAAACCAAAATAAAGTAACTCTATTGCTCATGCGTAAAATATCATATAATTAGCAAAAAATTAAGCAGAACTAGCCTTTAATATGATAAAAGTATATATACCTTCTAAGTTGTTGTTGTCTAGAAATAACTCTTGAAGCCTAGTGAACTTGCCAATGCCTCTTGGTATGTGACCAGACAATTGATTAGCACTTAAGTAAATGCTATTCAAATTTGTAAGATTACTTATTTCATTGGGAATATCTCCTGCAATATGACAACACAAATTTGTTGCATGAAACATTCTAATTCCACGCCTCTCACCTCCTGCAATTTTAGTTTATTTCAGAAACAAATTTGATCGAGTGTATTGAATTTCTTTTATGATTTAATATTTTGCAAAAAATAATTTTAATTTAAAATCATAAAACATGATGAACTCCTATGAATTTATTTAATGACTTTTAAGAATCACATAAAAAGAAGTTATGAAATTATAGTAGAGATTTAATTTGGGGCACATTTGTTTGATTTTTTTCCCATAAAAATCATTTATTTTTAAAAAATATATTTTTTTGAAATTTTATTATATTTGTTCAAATTTTTGAAAATATTCAGAATCAAAAAAATATTTCTAACTATTTTGAAACGTTTTTGAAAATAATCTGATGTGTTATATCAGAGAGAATTCCATGAAAAACAGAGATATATGAAATTATTATAAATTTTAAAATAGCTTAATAAAACTATATTTTTAGAAATGGATTTGCATGAAGATAACATAAAATATAAAAATAATTAAATGATAACATTTTTAAATATTATAACTAAGAAAAAATAATATATACTTTTTATAAAATTAGATATCTAAAAAAGAAATGGATTCTTATAAAATATGCATACTATCTAAAAATCACATAGTTTTTAATATTAAATAAACAGACCTTTGATTTATTTTGTAGGATAAACTTATGAAAAAGGTAGCTCTTAAATATAACCATAGAAAGTCAACATGACATATATTTGAAGGGATTCTTCTCTAAAAATTATAGCCACTCAAAAAAAAAAAGTCGTTTATGATGATGCTCGTTAAGAAATAAAAGAAAAAACAGTAGTTAAAAATTATGATTCGTTAAAAATGTACCTTGGAAGTTATTGCTTGCAAGATATAAATTTTCAAGCATGATCAATTTTCCAATTCTTGGTACTTGGCCTGACAACTTATTCATACCCATGTACATATTTTTCAGATTTGTAAGCTCATTCATTTCTTTGGGAATATGTCCTGCAATATGGCCAAAAAGAAAAATAACCTTGTACTTTTTCATGAGTTTCTGATAATAAAAAACAGTATTAACAAAAATTGAGTAGCACATGTAATTCTGGGAATGCATTATTGTTGTATCTCATATATGTATTCAGTAATTTGTTCTTTGGTCATTATTACTGACCAGTTAATAATTTTTATAAGAAAAATAAAAATTTCCCTTTTCTCATTACATGTTTTCTAAATAAATCTAAAAATAATTCATTAATTTTACCAAAAAAACCACAAATTCTCATGGTATCTTCACTATCATATAAATTTCATAACGAAAATAACTTGTCAAGTAAATTACAAACATAACAATTATTATTTAGAATATACAAGTCCTTGAATATGCAAGCTATTTATATTAAGACATGAAAACAACATTAGAGTAATAAATGAAAACTTAAGTCAATCTAATATGAGCCTCTTTTTTTTTTTTTAATATCTTTTCACGCAGCCTATTGGAGCACTTTCCACATAGTGCTCTAATAGGCTAGAATTTTTTGATGGAGATTATGTTCTTTTTTAAATTTTTTTGGTGTCCTACTAGAGCATTTCTCAAAAAAGTGCTCCCACAGAAGAAAGCACTCCAAAATGGACGCTCCCCTAAACTTTTTTGTAGTAGTGTGACAAATGCAAATGGAATTCCAAAAATTATATAGTGTAAAAAAAAGTGCCTAGCTGAAAGAGAATTCCAAATAACATTTAATTAACTTGTCTATTTTAAACAAAAATATTTTTTTGTTGGAGATAACTCATTCAACGAGTAATTTTTAAAGAATAGTCAAGTTTGTTCTGGTGATGATAGCTTAATTATAGAGGTGTAGCTAATTTGTTTCATGTAATTGTAAAATGTTTGAGAATTTTCAGTTCAAAGTCTAACTTTGAAAAGACATTAAATAGCATACCCCAAGTTAGATTGACATCAAGTATAAGACTGATATAAATGATTACAAAAAAAAGAAGAAGATAAATTCATCAATTTTGAAATAGAATAAATGTATCACAAATATATTATACAGGACATACCTTCTAAGAAGTTGAGAGACAATGAGATGTGTTCAAGTGATGATAAGTTAGAGATAGTTGGAGGTATCCTTCCTGAAAGCATGTTTCTAGAAATGCTTAAAAATTTTAGATGTTGAAGTCTTCCAATATCCACCGGAATAGATCCATTGATAGAATTAGACTTTAAATCCAAGGTCTCCAAGTTAGACAAATTGCATATACTTGGAGGAATGAGACCTCCAAAACTATTATTGCCAAGACTCAAGCGTTGAAGCATAAACAAGCTCCCAATCCAAGTTGGAATAGCTCCACTAAATGCATTATAACTCAAGTTTAGAATTTCTAGTTTGCGCAGTTGAAGCAACTCTTTTGGCAGCCGACCATGAAAGTTGTTGCTTTGTAGTTCAAGTTTCTCTAGGAAGGACAAATTTCCAATTTGTGATGGTAAGGTGCCCTCAAGACCCATCTCAGGAAGACTCAATATTCTCACTCTCTCATTGTTACATGTGACTCCAAACCAGTGGCAAAAGAAAGATGATGAGTTGGACCAACTTTTTAAGTGATTGTAGGGGTCCCTAATAGATGATTTGAAAGCAAAAAGTGTCAATCCATCGAGGGTAAAACTGGAATGACATAAAGATGGAAAAACCATGAGAAAGAGCATGGAGAAAATGGAGGAGAAGAAATGAAAGCATAGATTTGCCATGTTGGATAGGCTCAAAGCTTCTTAGGATGAAGAAAAAGGAGAAGAAAGGTTCACTATATATAACTTTGAGAGTTATTAACTGATCAGCTCTGAAATAAGAGCAAGGATAATATTGTAATTAACTGTTAGCTTATAATAGATAATTATAATGAACAAAATAATATGCACAAGGTTGTTATGGAAAAATATTGAGAAATTTTGACTGTCGCCGCATATGGTCAAATGTTTAGTGGTGACTTTTAAAATCTTCGTAAATTGTTTACTTTCATCAACAACTTTTTATTTGTCGTGACTAAAAGTCTATCTCTCTCTTTTCTTATAGTGGCTTCTTAGGTTGAAGAACAATAGGAGAAGAAAGATTCACTATATATACGTACTTTGAAAGTGATAGGCTGATTAAGGGTAATGATAACGTGTAATTAATTTGTTAGCGTAAAAATTATGGGGCGTAAATTACCTCATGATGTTGCTGGCAACGAATCTCCCAAACACTTCATCGTCTTCCTTCCCTCAAGATATTGCAGTGTCATGATACTCAGCATATAATAGGAATGTTCCTCTAAGCTTCTCGTGCCCAACTTCCAGCATATAACTACGGGCATTAAAAATCAAGTCTCGGGACTGATTCCAATTATGCAAGCTTTCTTATATCCATTTATTAGCCTTTTTTTTCTTATTATTTAATTCATAAACCAGTTAATCTTGTTGTTTTGAGGCAATTATGGCGGAGGAGGGAGTTGGATTCAAACCTCGAAGGTGATGAACATCAATAATCTAAGCGGCAGTGGAAATCAAGAGCTGTCAGTTCAATTTCGTTGCTGAAGGCTAGCTGCTGCTGAAAATCACGCAGATGGAGAAAACATGAAGGCTATCTGAAGAAGAAAGAGGTTAGAAAATCGAAATCCCTAAGTTTTTCCCTTTTTTTTTTGGTTTTGTAATCGTAAAATATGATAATTATAATGAACAAAATAGTATGCAAAAGCTATTTTGCAATGGAGAAAAATACTGGGAAATGTAAGATTGGTGAATTTACTTGACCCAAAAGCTTAAAAAGCGGAGCCCATTGAAATTTTCCTATTATAAAATATTAGCACTGTTGATTTAATGCTAATATATGTAGCAAATTTGTGTGTTTTCTGTTTTTTTTAAAATTAATTACACTTGAGGTAATAATAAACTGGCGCCTAATTACTATTGAATCCATAATTTTAAATAAATTATAAAACAAAAGATCAAAAGCTTGACTTAGACATGTTATAAAAAAAAATTCTAAACCAACCAAAAAAAAAAAAAAACTTTGTGGAATAAGAAGGCAATTGACTTGGCCAATTGGAAAATAAGACGACAACTGTGTGGAAAACACAGAATGGCAGTTGCAAGTCGCATTCACCAATTAAATTTCGCATTAGAAAAAGGACTGGTGGGATCCGCAATAATAATGTTGTTTGTAATTTTTATTTTTTGAGGTATCTCAATTTCAAAATTTATATTTGGCTAACCTAACACATATAAACTTAGCTCGAAAATCAATTGTCACTATTGCTGCGATAGATTACTGTCCAAGAGATCAAATCAAGTGATAAAATTTTTAATGTGAAATATATTCAAACTAAAATTTGAGCTTTTGACCTCTCACCTTTTAAATTTTAAATATTTTTTTATCAGTTAAATTAAAATGCACTTATAATTATTATATACAAAATTAAATATATATTATTTAACTACATACACATATATTAAATAATATATTATTAAAATATATACATATATTTTTATTTTATTTTCATTTATTGACATGCTAAAATAATTTCTATGAGTGTGTGTATATTATATTTACTAATAAAATATTATTTTTGTTATCAAAATAAACTTAAAATGAAATAATTTTTAAAAATTGAATAATTTTCTTATAAATATTTTTACCAATTTTAAATTTTATTTTTATTTTTTTAATGAAATTAATTAATTATATAATTTATTTATAAGTATGTATTATATTAGTTTATGTTAAATATCTTCTACTTTTTTTCCCATGTTTTTTCTCAAAAATTAATAAATAAATTATTAAACTTTTATCTTCTCCCAAGTTAAATGCTTCCCCTTCTTTTATTAAAAATAAATTTAATCTATAATTTTTTAATTATCTTAAAAAATATTTTATAAAAAATATTTTAGTCATATTAATTTTGTTAATAGCCATTTTGAATAATTATTTTTTATTATTTTTGAGATATAAAATGGGTGGACATGTGATAAACTAAAAGTATATGCTAAAAAAAATCTAAATTAAAAATCTAAGTGGATATTTCATAATTAAAATAAAAGAAATCTTTCCTTGACTCAATTTAGATTAGTTTGAATCTTCATTAAAGTCTCTTTAACATATTCAATATAAGGATAATAGGAAATACTTTTCAATAACCTTACAATTTAAAATAAATAAACTTTAATAAGTTTATACATAATTTCATCTATAACTTAAAAAAACCATCAAGTATTCTCTACCTATTTTGTTTGTTGCTTATTTAAAATAATCGTCAAATATGAAGCGTTTATTTAAATAATCCTATAATAGTGAAAAGTAGGGCTCAACAAATGGAGTAGACAACATATATATACTAAGACAATCATCAAGTGCGTAATATGTTAAGTACTTTGCAATGTTATTTATATATTACAACATCTATATAACTTTAATATTTTAATGCTATTTATATATATATATATATATGTAACTAAGTAAGTATTTATGTATAACTTTAACATTCCCATGTTATTTATTAATTATTTTTTCTATGAAAACACTATTGGTGATGATAGTTTGTCACTGTTAAAAAGTAATTACAGAAATTATTTTTTATGAAAATACTATTGGCGGTGACATTTTGTCACTACTAAAAATAATTACATAAATTACTTTTAATTTTTTAATTTTTTTTATAAAAATACCTTTGATTTGTTATTACTAAAAATAATTACATAAATTATTTTTTATTTTATAAATATTTTTTATAAAAATACTTTTGGCAGTGATTGTTTGTGACCACTTAAAGTAACTACATAAGTTTTTTTAATTTTTATTTTTTTTTTGAAAATACTTTTGGTGGCAACAGTTTGTCATTGTTAAAAATAATTATATAAATTATTTTTAATTTTTAATTATTTTTTATGAAAATACTTACTAAAATAATTACATAAATTATTTTTAATTTTTAAGTTTTTTTATGAAAATAATTTTGACAGTGACAATTTATCATTGTTAAAAGTAATTTTTGGCCACAACAATTAAAAATCACTGGTAAAATGTGGCCTTTCAAAAGTTTACTTTTGGAGGCAATTTTTAAATCGCCGCCAAAAGTAAACATTTCGTGATGAATTTTTTTATTGCCGCCAAAAATAATTTTTTTGTAGTATTGTTAGCTTAAAAAAATTCAAAAACCAAGAAAAAAAATGAAAATATTCAAATTCTTACTCAGAATTAAATATCAACTTCTTTAGCCTGACCATCATAGGAAAGAAACAAGAAATGTCAGATCGGCAGTTTTTTTTTTTTTACTGTGTGCATATATCTTTTATTTATTGCCTTCTTCACAATTTCACTATCAATATTTATATTACTCTTGTTTTTTTCTCTCATCGCTTGCTCTGATCTCTCACCAATTGAAGAACAAAAGTAAATTTGTCACTCAATCTTTTTTTTTTTTTAGCTTCAAACCTTTGTAAGTACTTGTAAAGCTGAAGGTCTGTTCTATTTTGGCGAGCCTACAAAATCCAACTCACATGTATTTTTCTTATAAATTAACAAAAATGAAATTCGAAATATATGGTTTTCAAAGTAAAAAGGAAGAGATTTTTTTAGTCTCTACCATGAGGGAAGAAAAAAATAGGGAGGCCATTTTATATTTTCCCTAATTCTTAAGTCAAGTCTATGCTTTCCTTTAATTTTTGTGGAAACATGGCACAATTATGTTGAGTCTCTAGACTAAGAATAGTTGAATAAAACAACTAAAGTTGGTGAGTGGTAGGGACTCCCAATAAAAGATATAATTTCCGTTATTACCGGAGCATAATTACTATTAAAAAATGAATTGATTGATAGGTTTTAAGGGATTCAATTCATGATTTGTTCAAGAAGTTATTTGTCGAAAATATCGATGATGACGGAATCAAGTATAGGGTAACTTTGTCACTCTTGTAAGTTCATAATTAACCAAAATAATTTTAGTTGTTATCAATGAAATAGCTAGACTTAATATATATTCATATAATTGAACAGTGATCAAAAAGTAAAATTATGCTTTTTTGACAAAAAATAAAATAAATTTGTACTTGTTTTGAAAATAATCAATCTTAATTCGATTATCTCTTCCCTCAGGTAATTCTTTTTTTCATCTTTAATATATTGGAGTAAGTACGAAATATATGCCACATTATTTATAATATAATTTGTTAATTTTTCAATTATTTATTGATTTTATATTGATATTTCGTTGACCAACATTGATTTTATAGGGAGAATGTTGATGAAGGACCCTAAAAGAATTACCAACAATTTGTTGTTGGTTTGAAAGGGTAGTCATCCTTAATTTGATGGGAAAATTGTGCATAGATTTCATAGAGCAAATTTATTTATATATAAGTCCCATAAAATTTAGAAACCACAACCAGATCCTTTGAAACTTGAGTGTAATTTAAAATTAGGATGAAAAGACATAAAAATACATTAAATTAATCAAATAATTTAAAACTACTTCGTTAGTAATTTACAACTATTATTTCAATTTTTTATAACAATAGCTTCATATATCTAATAGCAAAACAATCATGCATTGTTAAAAAATTTTAACACTAATTGTTTATAACTAATTTATCAATAATATACAACTATTATTTTAACTTTTTATGATGGTAACTTCACATATTTAATAGTTAAATTGATTATGCATTACTAATAAAGTTTAACACTAATTATTTACAAACTGGTCAAAAAAATTATTTACAACTATTTTAT